CCTCAATTCGAATCCTAAAATTTTACTGCCATATGTCACACTTCGAACTGAAACACAGCCTTGCAAGCGCAACTGTTTTGGGGCAGAAACATGACTGGATTTTTAAAAAAATATATTTGGGCACACAAAATATGCTTGGCACCTCTGTCTCATTCGTGTTTCTACCGTGAAGCAGTTGTGTTTTCATGGCTATTTCGGTCTGAAGGGTGGGATATGGCAGTGAATTTACAGGGTACAGAGGAATGGCCGAGAAGCGATTCCTCTGTACCCTGTAAATTCCATATAAATATAGGGTACAGAGGAATAACGCCTGAATCCTCAGGAATGGTAACGCATGGGGGGTATCATGAGCGAAACAATATACCTACTCTGTTATGTCCATGATACTGCTCACGTCTCTACGCGCTGGTTACCATTTTCCATCAGGTGGGCCGTCAGCTTGTTTGCCATTCTACGTTGAATAAAAAAAATGGTTTAACCCAAATAAAGTTCTGATCATCCACGAGAATTGAAATAAAAACTATAAGAAATACCTAAGTTTTTGCTTATATTCCATATAAATTCAAAACTGTCACATGCACACATTTACGAAACACTAGTGTAACATTAATCTTATCTCTTTTATTAATTGCATTGCCAGTCTGACAGTACATAGTACGTTATTATACATCTATAAGTAGGACAAAGGTGAGACAGGGTACTATTGTGATATGAGTAGTAACCTTTTTTTTTGTATGTTTTGGTACTCATTTATCAGAATTTATTATTAGTAAAAATTATATAACACTGTGGAGTCATTTGTATTTACAAGTTATTGTATGCGGTGTTTATCATAAATGTTTATGCAATTAGGATTATGTATTGCTTTTTTGTCTTATTTTTATATGTAACATAAGCAGAGTGGCGATTACGTAGCTACTGGTAGAGCTAATACCTACTTCGATTTATTTAATAACATCCCTTATAGAATTCTGTCAATGTTAATTTTTTACCGAACTAGGTGTATCATCTTATGAAAGTCCATATGGTCTACTGGTTATTCGATTAAAATTGTTTAATTCCACTACCATTAGTATATGTGTGACTACCAATACTCGTTACTAATCAACCATCAATCTCCGACTGCTATTGTGTTCACGCACGTTTTGCGAAACACATTTGGTGAAACACATGTTCACCTGTAAACGAAGTATCTTTAGGCAAATTATTATAGCTGCTCGGAGCCTAACCGTTCAATGCCCAAACTGCGAAATTTGGGTAACAAATAATTCTAATCAAATAACCAATGTTGATTTTGTTAAGACCATAGACATCTATAGGTGCCTTCTGCGTCTATAGTAGAGACAGACACAACTCTTAGATAGCAACTTATATCTACCGATTATCTACTCGCCTGGCTTACTGGTAATGTGCCGAGTCAGGCTGACTCGAATAGGTACTGATTCGAAAACCTACTTGGTACTCAAGTACATGAATATTCAATATTCAGAATTCGGGTAAGTACACAATATTCGGACAAAGGTTTTGTGTACTTGCTAGTACTTGAATACTAGTTATTAATAATAGTTAGTAATAATATTAATAATAGTTACTAAACTACGATAAGGGGGCCCCCCTTATCGTAATTTTTTATATTTCTGTCATCTCGTTTACTTTTTCTTTATAACTGTACATAACTTTTGCTTACCAAAGTGTGGCAATATCGCAATTAACTGTCAATTTTCGAAAACAATTTTACATTTTCTATATTTCTGAGGGAGTATTTAAAAAAAATTATTAGTCAATTAAATTAATATTCTTATCAAGATGTCATTGAAAATTTAAATTTTGATGGTAAAAACTTATTTGAAAAATTCGGAAGCGAGATATGAAGTAAGTGCAAAGTTTTATTAGTAGTTTTATATGTAACGTTTTCTATTATCAACATTTTTAATTCGCTAACAAAACACTTTTTATTTAATCAATCAGAAATATCAAAAATTCTTCTATTGCTTTTGAAAACTGACAGGTAATTGCGACGTTGCCACATTTCGGTAAACAAAAGTATATATGGTATCTTAATTACTAAATAAAAAATTATTAAATGACTGAACAGTTATCATATAATTCATTAATAATAAGCTTTAGAAATCATCTGAAAGATTGAGTCTGAGTCATCGAGTCCAACACCAGTCTCTCACAAAGATTGTTTTAAATTTTAACTTACGTAGCTGTAAGTTTTATTATGTTATTACGTTGTGAGAGAAATAAATTTATATTTACTTTACTTAAATCTTTAGAAGAATTGGGCTACTTGTCTTAGGTACTCCTCTAACACGAGGCAGTATTCAATACATTGTTTATCGAGTACTAAAGCGCTCGAATACCATATAAAGTCCACTCAGAATATCACTATGCGTTGTCCACTGTCCATGTAGTGATGGGGCCGCAGAGTAACATAGTGAGTCACGGTTCGTCGTGACACACGACCATAAGCGAATTTAGAAGTGGGGAGAGATGATCTGTGCCCACCCCAGAATTGTTTGGTGCTCACTTCAAATGCTTCGCAAAGATATGTTTGGAACACATATGTATATTGGATTATAATCCTAAATACATCAATATACAGGACTAAAGAACAAAGCCGACCGTGGCATACCTGGGGAGGAGTCAAGTTAATTCTTGATTAATTCGTTACAATTGACCAACTGCCCTGTTTTTATCCTTATCTATCATTCCGTACTGATGCCCCGCCATCGTGTACCGATAACGCAGGTGGGATTAGGTACGTACCATTCCATTTTCATACCGTAAAAGTGACCTTAGCGTACCTGTAAATTATCGACAACGCAACGTCTGATGACGAAAAAAAAGGTTACCACTTTAAAAAGTGTTGTTAGCGCCCGATGAATTTTGACGCCCCCGAAAATTTTTAAACAATAAAACTGAGATATGTTAAAAATGACCATGGCAAAATGGCAATTCTAAAGACAATATAGCTGTCCCGGGTTCATAGAGATACGTTGGCTTGTAACCTTATCGATAAGACAAGAATCCAAGATAAATAAAATTAGTGCATTGTGTTTGTGTCGAAGAGGCTCCTAAAGGTGGGATTATAAATCAAAGAAAATATATGGTAAAATACATCTCAGATAAATTACGGTAGTATAGAAATGTTTGCGAACCTGCACTTTATTTTTTACACTTTCAAGTCACTCAATATTCATAATTATGACTTAAATCATAATACCTATTTGTATAAACACATATTATTTATCATGTACCTATAAGAGTACATTTTATTTTTTTACATAATTATATATTTAAGTAAATACCCGTATATTCAATACTTTACCTAATCTCTTACAGATATATATATATAAAATAGATTTTACAATTCGATTGCGAAAACGAACTAAATTTTAAAACTGTCTAATCTACACCTTTACAAATGTATAATTTAATATATTTTAAATTCAAATGCATATTTTAACAGATAATAAGATCCATTTTGTTAGTAACAGGCTTGAAATTATGTTAATAAAGAAAGTTAGAAGTTATAATAAAGAAGATGAATAGACCATATGCCGTCAGGATGGCAATGAACTAGAGAATAGTTATTTTGTGTTTTAATCAACGTCCTGACGAAATGCCCTATTACAGGTGCATGGACATCTTCAGCTATCATTTTAAGTATGGTGCTTTCAATACTCCGCATTCACCATGGATGCGACTTTCTTACGAATGATGGCATAGAAGCCATCAATTCATGCTTGAACGAACATTTCGAAGCTTCAAAAATGGAGAAGTTCCAACATCATCCTGAAAACGTTATTGTATAGGACACGTAGAGCATCCAGCGATTTTTTAGCATAGGTACATACCTGAGCCATAAACCGCCCGTGTAATGACCCTGATAATATGTCTTGATCAGATAAATAATAGATTAAAGAATATTATTTTTAAATAAAAAGTACATACAATTGTGAATGTAAACATTTTTAATAAGTACCATATTACGTATCCAACGACTGAATAAAGAGGGTGCTGTTTCTTTTTTATAAACAAGCATAATTTTTTTTATGGGTGAAAATGGTATGGTAACCCCGTCTACGCTAACGAGATACGCCGGCGGAGCACCAGTGAAGGGTGATAGATGAGAATGAAAACAGGCCAGTCAGCCCCTCATGATGAATTCATCAGGAATTAACCATGATAGTTTCCAGGGAGAACAGCGAGGAGGTCGACCTGGTTGGGTATAATGCTAGCAATGGGATTCTCAGTCTCCATTACTAACAATCCCTTTCCCCTCAACAAGTATCATTAGATTCGCTTTAATACATGCTGACGGCTCACCTGCTTGAAAGTGATAATAAAATTAATCGTCACCTCGAGACATGAACAGCTCAGTGTGCCACACAGAATACACTGTAACGCTCATAAAGACAAGACATTCTTTATTTACTATACCTATACTGCTAGATGTAGCATAATCGTAAATATTACTCACGTATTTTATCAGATAAGTCCTTAAGCTGTACATTTCTTTAAAATAACTATATCTTATTTTCAAGAATATCATTTCTAATAATACTATGTATTATTTTAAAGAAATAAATTTAAAAAAGGAATTTAATTTTACCTCGTAGTATAACTCCATTCTATTGTTAAATTATGTTTTTTAGAAATCCTATAAATGTCCATCGACTTTTGATGTTACTGTACGATAAATTCAATAATTTCCCTCTTATAAATATAAGAATAAAAACTAATAAAATAATTGATTATTGAATTCTATTTTCAACGCCAATATTTATTTAAAATTAAAAAAAAATGGTATTTCTTTATCTGTGCTTGGTACACAGATAAAGAAAGGAATCGAAATAATAAGGGAACTGGCATTGTTACAAACTGATTAGGTGCGTGCTTATCTTTCTTTCTTAGAATGACACCTTTATCTGCCTCACTACCGAAGTATTATTACAACAGATCTATATATTGATTGCTACTTATAGTTCTTTATTTAATGCTCTTTATATTACTTTTATATCGACATTATCAATTGTACGATTAAAATTTTGTTTATAAGTCGTTAAAATTAACAAGAAGATTTTGCTACACAAAAACTGTTAATGTAGTTTCAATAGTGAAAACAAAAAACAGTTATTTTGATATAAAAGCCGAATTGCAATTTGACTTTGATGCAATTTCTATGTGACCAATCTGTAAGTATATCTTTTTAAATAAAAAAAAAAAGAATTTTCTAAATCGGTTAATAAATAGTGGAGTTCTAAGATAATATAAAAATACAATTGAATTCAGACCGCCTTCCTATTTAAAGTCGGTTAAAAAACTCCCTTTTAGATGAGTAAATCACGCTAGTCCGTAATTAAAGTACAGTCAGCATCAAAAATCGACGAATATATTAACATTTTTAATTATGACTCTATATAATATTCTTCCAATTTTGGCTCTAACCTTGTTAAGCTTGTGTACGTGACAATGTTTACGGCTTTTAGAAATCTATAACCATCCGTCGACTTTTGATACTGACTGTTCAATCAACTCGATAACTTTCCTCTTATATTATTATCGCTTGACAGGCGAGTTAGCAACCCTCTTATATGAATAAGAATAAAAGCTAATGAAATGTTTGATCGTTAATTAATATTAATTAATTAATATTACATAATTTAACTTCGTTAGGTACGTTTCATTATCGTACACATGAGAAAAGCAAGCGAGCGGATGTTATCGTCTCGTTCTAGCTCATGTAAGCGGTAACGAAAACGTACCTACTGATGAATTTATTTGTTATAGGTAATTCTAGGAAAACCAATTAGAGACAACTAAATAATATAAAAATATATAATATATAATCCCTTAAAAGGGACAATAAATATGTAAATATAGTTATGTTTTATATTATCTAAGTATTTAGATGTAAATGACTTATTTCTGAAATCATAGGAAACAGAACTAGACATAGTAGGTAAGTCTTGGCGGATGTTTATGTTTACACTAAGTATATATAAACGAAGAAACCTGATGTATGGCCTCGTAATAAATAAAATTCTTAAGAATATAATTACAATTAATTATACATACATAAAATAAACTGATGTTTTTTCCGTAAACCCCGAGCGGTACATAAAAACTTGGCACAGTTTCTTCAAGTGTCCGACCGAATCAAAATGTGTACGAAACCTCTACCAACCTACTAGTTAATATCATAATAAAAGCAATACGGATATCCCCAGACCATTCTTGATCTTATGAGTAGATATACCAAGGGACAGCCCAAGTATCCATTTATGTCGTCCTGTGACCCAGTGGACAAACCCGACTGTAACGCATGACTCACTTGCTACAAACAATTTTATTTCCCGGAACTGTTAACAATAATTATGAATAAATAGCTGTATGTAGGTATTTTATAGTGATGCCTATGCCACAACCTAATCAAATAAAAGAATAAACTTTTTACCAATACTAATTGAATAAAATTAGGCCTGCATTACTTCAAACAGAAAACGTTTGTGTGAAATCTGTGCAACCAATTCATTGAATTTAACAATAAGTTTTACATAATATCTATTGATATCAATATTTTGAATGAAAACATGTTATAAATAGTTGTAAAAAAACTATTAATATCTATGTCTATATATATGTATAAAAGGAATTATGTGAATTTACTATCTTTGTACTTTCCTACAATTTTCGTTAAAAATGAACATAAGGTTTGAAGCTTCTAAATGGTTGCATAAATTTGTTTTCCAGTTTTGTACTGCCCTTGTGGCAGTACCAACTCTTAAAATACACTCTATATTTAACTGACATTCGGTATATAAAATCAAATTATGATTGAGTAAGAAAAATATAATTAATAATTTCTTAGAAGAATTAATAAATTCTTAGAAGTCGAATTTTAATTTAGTCGAAATTTTAATAAATTTATGAGACAAAGAGAAAAGTATTTAAAAAAAATATTATTGTTTTTGCTAAAAACAGTTTAATTAGCAATTAAACAACAATAAAATAAAAAAAGAGAAATTAAAACGCAACTACCCCAGGAGGGTACCGGCACTGCCGGAGAATCCGTCCCTGAGTGCAACTCAGGCAGTCCCATCGTATCTGGGGGGGACAAATTTCTCATCGACGGCGATGCGTTATGCCACGGGTCACGTCATGTCTCCCCTGTTTCCCCAAATGGCAAAAAGAGGGCAAAGGAATGCCAAATTGCAACGATGAATGTTTGTGGAGGTATGGATAGTAAAATAGACGAAGTATGTGAGATGATGAGTGAAAGAAGAATTGATGTATTAGGAGTAAGTGAAACAAAAAAGAAAGGCTGCTCTATTACTACTTATGACCGATATACTGGGTACTGGTCTGGAGTTAATGACTCTGAAAGAAGCAGCCAAGGAGTGGGAGTTATTTTGTCAGAGAGAATGAATGCATCTGTTAAAGAATTTGAATTTGTAAGTCCTAGACTCCTCGGGATACGACTGAAAGTTGGTTTGACCCGTATTTTTCTCCTTTGCGCTTATGCCCCGGATATGTCTAAGCCACCAAAGGTCAGAGAGGATTTCTGGGATAGTGTAAGAGAGATTATGACTAAATGTAAGGAAAATGAAAGAATTATTTTGATAGGTGATTTTAATGGCTGGGTGGGAATCCGTCGCGATGGATATGAAAGGAATTTAGGAATGTTTGGAGATAAAAGAGTGAATGAAAATGGTGAAAGTTTATTAGAAGTATGCCTGGAGAGAAATCTGGTGGTGACTAATACTTTGTTTAGTCACAAACTGATTCATATGTATACATGGCAAAGGCAAACTGAGAGAAGTATGATTGATTTTGTAATTGTGGATGAACGATTGAGAGCGAAAGTGAAGGATACAAGAGTCTATCGTGGTACGAATGTCGGAACCGATCACTTTTTGGTGATATCGAGAATAGGTGGCTTATTCAATAAATGGCGACATCGTCCACGTGTTCGTATGTCAGAAATAGAAAGAGTAAGAGTAGAGAGACTGACAGAAGAACAGGTTCGAAATCAGTATCAAGAAAGATTGAATGAAAGATTTAGAGAGCTACTGAAGAAAGATAACTATGAGATAGAAGAATTTTGGAAGGAATTTAAATGCGGAATCTTTGATATAGCTACTCAAGTTTGTGGTGTAAGTAAGAGGAAGGATGTTAAGATGAGAATGAATGTATGGTGGGATGGCGAAGTGAAAGAAATGGTGGCTCTAAAGAAAAAGGCATGGATGGATTTGTTAGCTACCAGAGCTAATAAGAGAATGCAAGGTAATGTAAGTGACATTGAAAAAATTGCAAAAGAGAAGTATGATGTAATGAAAAAGAAAGTTAAAGAATTAGTAAGCAAAAAGAAAGAGGAATGTAAGGATGAGTATGAAAGGAAATTCTCTAGAAATTTTCGAGCTAATCAAAAGCTTTTCTGGCATTTAGTTCGAACAGCTAGAGGTAAAAAGAGAGATCCGAAAATGGGCGTGATAAGGGATATGGATGGTAATGTTATCACGGAACAAAAGGAAGTCTTAGATCATTGGAAGAGATATTTTGAAAGTTTATTTGAACGTGGAAGTGAAAGAAAGAATGTTGAAAATGAAATAATGGACGAAGAAGTTGACAGTGAAAGTGATATAAGTATGGATGAAGTAATGAATGCAATGAAGATTATGAAATTTGGTAAAGCAGCGGGATTCGATAGAATATCTGCCGAAATGCTTAAAGAAGGTGGAGAAATCATTGTAGACCTGCTGTGTCTGCTGTTCAATAAATGTTGGCGGTCCGGTTGTGTTCCAGGTGACTGGAGCAAAGCTGTTATTGTGCCACTATATAAAGGCAGCGGGTCACAGCAGGAGTGCAAAAATTTCCGCGGAATAAGCCTTCTTAGTGTTGTAGGCAAATTGTATGCTAGGATTTTGATTAAAAGAGTGATGAATGAGACGGAAAGTAAAATTTGGGATGTGCAAGCAGGGTTTCGAAAGGGTATGGGATGTACGGATCAAGTCTTTTCCTTAAGGTGCATAACAGAGAAAACCTTAGCTCAACATCAGAAGGTTTTCTGCGCCTTCATTGACCTTGAAAAGGCTTATGATAGAGTGGAGAGGAATGAACTGTGGTCAACACTGGCAATGTATGGGGTGAGCAGCCATTTGATATGGGCATTCAAATCTTTATATAAGGATTCAAATGCCTGTGTCAGAATAAATGGAGTCTATACAGACTGGTTTGGCATTGAACGCGGTGTTAGACAGGGCTGTGTAGCGTCTCCTTGGCTGTTCAACCTATTTATGGACAGTTGCTTGACCGATTTGAAAGGATCTAATTGTGGATTCAGGATGAATGAGTCTCTGTTTAAGACTCTTTTATACGCCGACGACCAAGTACTTTTTGCATCGTCGGAGTATGAATTACAACAAATGGTGACTATAATGAATGAAGCGTATGCAAGAAAAGGTATGAAAATAAATGCGAAGAAGACGAAGGTAATGGTTTTTGAGAGGAATGAAAGTTTAACGGCATGCCAGATTATGATAGGAGATGAAAAAGTAGAGCAAGTGAGTGAGTTTCTATATTTAGGTTCTTTGTTTACGAGGGATGGGAAGTGTGACAGAGATATTGAGAGGAGAGTAAAAGCGGGAAACAGTGTTAACGGTGCACTGCTCTCGATTATGTCAAGTAAAAATGTATCGAGCAAAGCTCGCCTTGCTATAATTCAAGGAGTACTGACACCAACACTCATGTATGGAAGCGAATCGTGGGTATGGCAGAAGAAGCATGAAAGTAAGATAAATGCTGTACAGATGAGAGCTTTGAGAAGTATGTGTGGTATTACTTTAAAAGATAGAGTAAGAAACAGTGTGGTTAGAGAGAAGTGTGGACTGAAAGACGATGTAGTGACAAAAATTGAAAAAGGAATGTTGCGTTGGTTTGGTCATTTGGAGAGGATGGATGAAAGAAGAATTACGAAAGAGATTTATCGAGCAAGAATGAATGGAGATGTCGGTAGGGGCCGCCCTAGACGGACGTATGTCGACCAAATAGGCGACGTGCTGAAGAAGGGCCAAATTAAAAGTACCCGTAACCGACGAGCGTGTATGACAAGATTGATGAATGTGGAAGAAGCGAAAGAGGTTTGTTTGAATCGAAGCATTTGGCGTTCCATTGTTTCTGCCTACCCTAATGGGAGACAGGCGTGACAGATATGTATGTATGTATGTAAAATAAAAAAAGTTTGTACGTGTCAATAATTGTACTTAAAAATATTTATATCAGTAACGTAATTTGTCTTTAGGTACGAGTGGGTATGTATTTACTACTAGTTTTTTTTTTATGGGTGAAAATGGAATGGTAACCCCGCCTGCGCTAACGGGATACGCTGGCGGAGCACCAGTGAAGGGTGATTAATGAGAATGAAAACAGGCCAGTTAGCTCATCATGATGAATTCATCAAGAATTAACCATGATAGTTTCCAGGGGGAACCGCGAGGAGGTCGACCTGGTTGGGTGTATTGCTAGCAATGGAATTCTTAGTCTCCATTACTAACAATCCCTTTCCCCCCTTTACTACTAGTTTACAACTGTGTATTAATTATCGTTTGTGGGACAGGAATATATTGATTAACCGGAATGGAAACTAGCGTATACCCTTCGCCATCATAAATAGAATATTTTCTAAACGTACCTACAACTGATTTCATAACAATTAGTTGAGCCGTTAACTACTAAAAGATTACAAACAAAAAGTATTTTCATCTATACTTATAAATAAAATTGGAGTGTCTGTTTGTAATATTGAAATAATCGTTTTTACTACATGTATATGAATATATATATACGGTACATACACCAAAATAAATTTTTTTACAATTTTTATCTGTCTGTCTGTCTATTTGTTCCGGCTAATCTCTGAAATGGCTGGACCGAATTTGACGGGACTTTTATTGGCAGGTAACTGATGTAATAAGGAGTAACTTAGGCTACGTTTATTTTAGAAAAATCTTTTATTTAAAAACTAATAAAGTAATGTTGCAATGTCCAAGTATTATCCAGAACCGCGTGCAGCTCACAATGAAATTAAGTGGGTATCATAATAAAAAAAAAACTAAAAAATGATGAATCGACTGTTAGGCAGAACGAAGTTCGCCGGGTCAGCTAGTTTTCAATATAAATTTGTTAATATTAACTGTAAGATTCTCAAAAATACATGAATATATCTCCAAAAAATTTTTACCGAATTTTGTGTATTCAGTAGATTTCATTTTTCAAGTCTTATAAATGTTATGACCTCAAATATGACATAACTTTTCTTTGTCAATCCAGAAATTTGAAATTCTTTGACTGACCCCTTAATTGTGATGACTGACTAACAAAACGATGTGTCACCATCACCATTGCTTTTCATACCCAAGATATGGTTAAACAAAGCAGGTACTTATTAATATTACTTGTAATATATTTTTACACTAGTGTTAAACGAAGATAAATCGAAATAAAACTTTAACTTCGTGGTCAATATATTAGTAAATAATATATTTAATAAAATGTCAAAAATAATTTTATTTAGAACTAGTTATAATAAAATCTTTTATATTAATTATACTCAGATATTTGCTCGTAATAATAATATTATTAAATTAATATACAATAGTAAAATAAACAATTACAATTGTAATTTAAAATTAGATATTACAGAAAATCTAAAACGAAACTTATATCGAATAAATAACGTCTAAAATAAATTAATGAAAAATGTACAATGTATCTAATTGTATAACATACGTACTCCTCTTATGAGATTCAACGAACTTTTTTATTTATCATTCATTATTATATATACAGGCTGAAATCATTAATCAAAAATTTTAAAATCATTAGTCTCTTTAAGGGGTCTACCAGAGAAATTGAACATTACCCAAAAAAAAATTATATCTACACGAGTCAAAAAACAAAAAAATATCTTTCATACTATTTGATAATTAAGGGAATTTTTTCTATATTATTCAACCTTCTTTTAACAATTCTGTAATTTGACGTACCTGCAGTCCCTAATAGAAGGTATACTTTTAAGCGGCGGTTCTTCAATTTGATGGCTTTCGTGGGGTAAACTGTAATACTTATCTTTGCTAAATGAGGCCTCCGAGTTATTCTAGGTATTCTTGAATGTGCAATCAGAAAATTTAAAAATCTCACTGTACACTAAATATTCTTCTTTGTGTTCTAGGAACTATTGGTTTGAAAGAAATATTAGGCTATTATAATATTAGCCATGTTGGCAACGCAGACTGGTGTAGCGTTATGAAATGTGCTTTGTTCTCTTATTGTTTACCTCTTACGATATTCTGGGAAGGAAGAAAAGTGGTGGCCTCGTATATAACCACTCCCTTCCAAGTTCTCTTCTGGTTCTTTTATTTCACTGCACACTAAATACTAATTATAATAGTTATTGAGATATTTGTCAGTCACTCACGCTGTAACAGCTGATTCGGATTTGAATGAAATTTGTTACATGGATAGACCTTATCCTGAATTAACACGTGGTATACTTTTTAGTCTCATGCAGGCAATGCCTAGTTTAGTAAATTACTTTAGATAATGTAGTCTTAAAATAACTGCATTATCAAGATGTATGAAAAATTTATATTGGTTAAATTTTCATTCATAACAGTGACATATTTATTCTTTGAATTTTTGATAATAAAGACACCTAATTTGAAAGAAGCAAATAGGTATATTTCTGTTAATTAGCCATAAAATTTGAAAACTTACCTACTTGTCTACTACTCCACACATGATAGACAACGCTATATTTAGACAAAATAGTACAAGCACAAAGTACAAGTAACGAGTAGGTAGGTAATCGTATAGATCTTAGAAATTATATATTTGCATATTTTAACTTATTCTGTATATTGTATGGTAAATAATGTATGTGTATCTGTGACGATGATAAATGATATCTACATTGTTGCTCATTATGATTATTAAATGTATCTTAATTCGCATTAACCCAAATTGCAGAGTTAGCATGTTGGTGTATCTGTGGTAAACACAAACGTAGATTGTATTGGTGACGTATGTAATTTGCTTGCTTTGTGGATATAGATAACCAGATTTCCTTTTCAGTCATAAGCATTCGAGTTGAACAAAGGAAGGATCTAGATAATTAGTTGTGGACAAAAATAGACGTCGCAGTCGGGCCCTGGGCCAGGTGACGTCAGTGCGCCAGGGCCGGCGGCGGGGCAAGACGGGCCCCGCGCCAGTGCCGCGCGCGCCGTCAGCCCGGCCGCACGCTATCGAGTCTCTGCACTCTGCCAGCCACCAGCCGCCTCCGCGCGCGCCACCTGGCCGCCTCCACCACCCCCTCCCGTCTACGCGATCCTCGATCATACAACGAAACGTAAGTAACTAACTCTACATATTACAATATTAGACGTACATACAAGTATATGATACCTACTATACAACTGCAACTATGCACCGCATAAGCAACCGATGCAGATTTCACCTCCATCCGCCGCGTCGCTTTACTGCATGGAGACTCTCGCGTACGTAAATTATAGACATAATACGTGTAGAAATTTTGTTATATCCATTTTATTTTTAACAACTAAGCCCTAGGTTCCTTATGTCGAGGCAACCTTGGCGCATCGTGTAATGCAGCGGGGACCTTGCAAGTCACGCGTCGGAGTAACCTCGGCTCACGGCGTACTCGTGTCGCTACTACGATTTCTCTCGTGTCGGTCTCAAATGAGTTTACATCCGCGCAGTCGCCGTCCATTGCTTGCTAGTACCTATTCATTGATCCTTCTCATTTTCATCTGAGCAGTATTAAACATGCAATGAACACGGAACCGTTATTTTCGAGCGTGTAGTGAGATTAATTTAGTACGATTTTATGTTGATAGACGCGTTATGGAACGATCACAAACAGCTGACCGCTGACGACTGTGTACTTTTTGACAGATAAAAAAAATATGACGCGGTCACTCAAGGACGGTCGATCACTATCAAGTAGTATTTCCCGTTTCCATTTCTACAGTATACCAAACAAATATCGTTAAGTCAAATGACTTTAGTAATTGAAATGATTGTATCAGAAATTAAATATTTCTAAACCAAATCACAAATGACACTCGTTCTCATCTACGACAATGGCGCTTGCCCATTAAATATGTAATAATACTGTTTACAGTTATGGTATTCATTGTACACACGAGGGCTCATTTTCGACTATTATTAGTACCATTAAGAAAATTGGTCCTGTGTAGACTATTTTTCTATCATATACACTGTAACCACTCTCAGGGTCGTTTTTATTAGAACCCGAGGCGAAGTATACACCTTACCAGTTACACATCACACAATAGTTCGTCGCCCGGTCATAAGTACAGCTGAGCAACACATATTTATGAGAAAATGCACATAGTGACGTGAACACTGTACCTGTAAATATTTAATGTAACACACAACAATAGCTACACCGTATTCTTATTTTAAATATAGGTATAGAGGCGTAAATGCAACGTTGATCTGTTACTAAGAAAATTCGTGTTTACTGTCGAAATGAGATACGAATATTCAGTGCAAAGGGGCCCCTGTGTTCCGAGTTATCATAATGTGTAAAGCCATGTTTTATCGGCCAGCCGCTATCAGTATCGCAGTACGCGGTAGAAACTCGAACAGTTATATACACGTGGACGTGGTGAACTAAGTACCAACCTCTTATACTTATCAACAATAAAAATCGAAAGTTTTACTGTGAACCAATTTCATTATTACGCCAAACTTGTCTGTTTCTGCTATTAAAAAAGTATATAACCTACTACACTGGATTGAGATATTTTAATATAAAGAATAGTTATGCACTATGCTAGGAAATATATGTGTATACTATGTTAGAAATTCACTCGTATCCACAAGTAAATATTCTAACAATTAATTACACGTAAATTATTCAACTATGTAGTATTTTCTCTATTTGTACGAATTACTATACATTTCAGTTTTATTAATTAACATGTCTACCGAGACGTGATTCTATGCCATTGGAAAGATAACTTTATCTATATGAGAATTATTACATGAAATGTTTTTCTATTAAGAGATATAAATTAATAAAATTGAGCCCATTACCACTACAGTGATTAAAAACTAATTTGACTATCGCACTTAGGAAACTAATTACTACATATATAATTATCAAATTAACATGCCTAAAATATTAGTATGTCAAAGAAAAATTATGTATAATAATAAATATAAAAACGATTCAATATACATATGGTTCAGACATAAGTATTTTACTCGTATTTACATAGATATAAAATTGAAACGTATATATAAACACAAACTGAACAACACTGAGGCTAACCTCTAGAACGTCTCTAGACATGTTTTTTTCACCTCGAGTTGGCATTGATCGTGGTCCACAAAACCGGTAGATTGCGGTTACCCTTCGCCAAACAGTCAAAACTACACACTGAATTTACAATATACCTACTCATAAACACCTCATTAGACAATAATCAATGAATACCACTTAGTTCAATGAATTATGACACATTAATGAGCTACTTTCTGTAAAGTGGGTCATCATGATTTGGTATATTCTTTTACAAATACATAAAATATATGTAATTGAATTTTTTTAAACTTTGTAAATCTTCAAACAGAACAGACTTCAAGCATAATATCTCGTAAAGATTTTTAAACATCATTCATACGGTATTCGTGGAAAATCTGATATCTAATAATAATAATAAAGAATCTTCTTTAAGATATGTATTACTAGCTGTATTCCACGGCTTCGCTTACATCCTTATACTAAGTTAGGATATAACCTAACCGTGTACCAAATTACATTCAATCAGTAGTTTTTGCGTGAAAGAAAAACAAATATTCATCCATCCATAGTTACAAACTTAGTATTAGGATTATATAATTTCAAAATTCATAATTATACTTTTCAGATCGCAATGGTTAGAAAATACGAAAGAATGAGTGGACGACAATCTTGGAATGAAGAAGATATGGCCAAGGCCGTACAAGCTGTAGTGTCAGGTAAGATGGGCTACAAACTAGCAGCTAGAACTTTCCACATACCACGATCAACCCTACAAAGAAGGGCCAGTAAAATAAGATACCAGCAACCAGATGACCCTAAAACATTGATGGGTCATTACCGAAGAGTGTTTACGGATAGTCAAGAAAAAGATTTAGTGGGATACATAAAAAGCATGGAGAAACACTTCATGGGCGTTTCTCGTAGAGATATTAGAGAGCTGGCTTTTCAATATGCTGAAGACAACCATTTGAATCATCCTTTCGACGTTAACAGCAGAATGGCTGGCGAAGATTGGGTTAGGAATTTCCTGAAGAGAAACCCAGAGCTACTTCACAAATCTGAAAGGGAATTTGAGTTAGAACCGGTAAATTTCGATCAATTTTACCACTTTATGTGTCAGCATTCATGATAACTGTTTGTAGACTTTCGCTACATAATCGTGGACACATAATTCAGCTGGAAAAGATTTACCCGTATGACTGAACGAATATAACTCCAACCTATGTACTTATTTACTTTATTATTTTCACATATATCCCAAAAATTGCACCATTGTATTAATTAATTAAGTAATTTTAGGAATTTATTCATACAGATAATGTCTTGATCTCATTCCAAGCAAATATCCAATATGAAAATAAATGTTTATTCGCCGATATAATATTATGTACATGGGTTGGAAGGAAAAAATAGTGGACATAGAAATGAAAATTTAATTATCTTAAAAGTTATAATAAATCTTTAAACGAGCACAGCTCTAAATATTGCGTAATCAAAATAATTCTTACATTTTTTTATCGTATTTAATTCGTTTAGGTTTTAAACAATAAGAATGAGTACTTACATAAATTATGTTAAACCATATTTATAGTTTAAATAATGCTAAATTAAGGGCTGTGATAACAGAGAAAGGTGTATTTTTATGAAACATATCATACTAATTGAAATGTTTATTGTATCTATTACTGAAAAGTGAGAATGACAATGGGGAAGTCTATATAATGTTACCGGATGGCTATTAGAAGATATTTAAAATTTTCCCTATCGAATAAACACTGCAATGATTAATTAAAGCGATGGACAAAGATAATGTAATGCAATTTGCATATAGGTATGACTTTGCAATGACTTCCCCTATTAGAGAACATGAAAAACTACTTAGCACAAATACCTAGTTACAATATATATTCGTATCATCATCCCCAATGAAGTGATTAAAATTATTATGTCGAGTCATTGGAATTATATAAGGGGAGTGTTAAATACAAAAATATAAAAATTATGTCTATCCCATTCACCTATAAGTATAGTTGGCGATTTATTTGAATCTAAAATGTTCCTGCTATTAACATTATTGAAGCTTGGAATTATAAGTAAAATATAAACAAAGGTATGCAGGACTAATTGATTAGTAGATAAATTGGTATAATGTTATTTATAGATTAATATAAGTATATATAATATTAGTACAAGAAAAAAGAAGACCTTAACAGAACTTAGCAACCTTGACAAATAATAGCAATGACATACTTGGTTAATGCACAACCAATTTCTGTTGTACTTTATCTAAATAGAATAATTGTAGCGTACCATAGCTAACATGAGATCGCTAGCAGTAAAAAAATTAGAGTAAATTTAAAAAAGTCGAAGCAAAACAAGATAGAGTTATTTTACTAAATTTAATAAAATTTTTGAAATTTTTCGGTGATTGACAAACAAGAAAAATATTTACAATGAAGCTTGAAAACTCCAGTTTTAGATTTTTATAGTGAAAAAATTTTTTCGGTTTCCATTTTTTTTTTTTTGGGCATTTTTTTTCGAGCTACTCAATGGTCTCTTAGCGTGTTTATTCAGCTTCATCGCTTTGGATGGCTCAATTACGACCATTTGTTTCCGAGATATCGAACTTTGAATGCAAAAGCATCCGTTCCCTTAATTTTTGCGAGGAGTGTAGTAATTTTTTTTTTTTTTAATCAATGGCTCATTATTTACGTCCAACCAGCTCTTCTCTCTCAAGGCTGGTACTTGATACAAAACTAAAATATATAAAAAGCATTCCAATATTAAACCAGTCACTTCTAAAAATTTTGGATAGATATGATTATATATATTAAAAAAAAAACTTCTAATCTGACATATTTAGTAAGGGGCCATCTAAAAAGTAATATCTAAACTAGCTCCAGAAATGGTAAAATTGAACAAAAATCTAAGTCGATTTGAAAATTTTCTCTATTTTGAAGTTAATTAACATTATGAAATATACAGACTACATTTTTATTTCTCTACCTTCGTTTGAATTTTATGTTAATTCTATATATCTAATAAGAATGATGCAGTATGTAGAACTAGATAAAAAAAAATGTGCCCCTTTTGACGTAATGCAAGTACGGCCCTGGAAGAAACCTACGCTGACCAAAAAATTTTTTAAATAATGCGACCCGATATATAATAATATTATGTAATTACCTAATAGGTAACTAATATTTATATAATTGTAAGTTCTGGACCAAGTGATCCCGTAACACATTATAAATAAAAAATGATAATTTTCAGTCGCCACAAAGTGATAGGATTTGTAAACTGTAATAAGGGAAATTATTTAACAGTGTTGAACGAATAGATGCTTTTTCCTACATCTACGATAAATATTGTTCAAATGTCGATTTTGTAACCTTTATGTTTTAAAGAGTATCATTCGTCATTAGTACTATTTTAAGAGAATATTCTATCACTGATAATTTGATTACAATTATTTTGTTTAATACCGCTACTTTACACTTGGTCCAGATTGTTTTAAAGCTGTGCTTAGCACAAGATGGGAATGGACTGAGATTGATGACGTCAGACACTTGCGTCACGCAATCTAAGCATGTGATAAGGTGATCGGTGATATTAGTGGGGAAAGGTCTGTTTAAGTGTTTATAATATTTATAAATTGGTCTATTAGGAAATTTTATAACTGGTCAATGAAGCAGATAATGTCTATTTTAAAATACGAATAGAACGTATTAGACCTAAAATATTTTGTTACCTGATTTATGTTTGATCTCTATTAAGTTAGTAGGTACATAGCAAAATATTAACTATTTATATTTAGTTTCGAGAACATTATAAAATTGTTGGTAATTAAAAGTTTAATATATTTAAAACAGAAAAAAAAAACTTATGCCAAACTATGTTATTATTCTGAGATTTATTTTCTTCCTTACTAATGGACATTATTTGTCTATCTACTATCATTCAAGACAGCGTTTATCTTGAATAACAAAAAGTACTTTGAAATATCTGTAACATTAAGTATTTATCACGTCAAACATTCATAAGTGACATACAGATATTCACGGTTGTCGATTAGTAAGGAGGATGATTTACCTAATTTCTAAGTACTTAAATTAAGCCTTATTGTGTCCAATAAACAAATTTAATAATTTTAAATCTTTTTTTATTTCTCCTTGATTATGCAGTATTAATAATGATGAAACTGCATGACAAGTTAATATGTCGAAGATTCATACGCACGACGACCCAAATAAGAGGCTAAGCGCGGAAAATAGAGTCCAATTTACATTACATTTAATATCTTGATCATTCTGTTCATGACTGTAAGAGTTCCCTCTATGGCATATTTCCGACATTGTATCCAATGTAAAATATGTACAATAAAAATTTTACATTACAATACAAATTAGTTCACGATCTACCTGATGGAAAATGTTAACTCTCACCTATATACGTACATAAACGGATGTCAAAGGTTATTGCTATTAGCTACATAACTCATGCAGCTATTTCGGTACATATCCTATGTAATGCCACTTTTGAGACCTAAGGTTTTTTAATAAGTAACAATGGAAAGGTAACTTATCTGCATTATCCGTGTGCGTTGGTGATAACAGGTGAGAACAAGTTAGTTGACTTATCGTGTAATTTGAACAAGAATTAACTACGATGATTTTTAGGGGAAACAGTGTAGAGGTTGACCTGATGGTTTATTGCTAACAATGGGCCTTTTAAACTCCATTACTAACAATTCCTTTCTCTCTAGAACTAAGATATTGAACATACATCTTAGTAATTTCACTGCCATGTCCTACCTTTCGAATCAAAATAATGTCATGTAAGCATAATTGTTCGACAGCAGAAACAAAAGTGCGACAGAAAGACCTAAAGAAATGACTTAATTACAAAGTCTTCCTCTAGTAAAAACTATTGACTGGCTATACAACAAAAAAAAAAATAAAAAATAATATATATATATATATATATATATATATATATATATATATATATATATATATATATATATACTTAATCAAAATTATAAAGTGGAGTAATCAAAGGCATTGTCAACTTTTACTGTACTGGTGAATGTATTTAATAGACACTTGGTCCACATTTCGCCGACCTTATCTTTGTTTCAAAATACATTTTTTAATGGTACCTACAACAAAAAGTCGGTTGGAAAGTTAACCTGATATTTCACAACCCTATCTAATTCAACAATTGAGATCTGGGTTCCAAAAAACCCCTTTAGCAACCACGGAACTCTCTCACTGTTTCTGTACTACATTTATTAACAAAAAAAGCAAATATGTTTATTTTTATTTTTTTAATTCTCCTTATTCCTGAAGTGTTTTTCCGTGAAGAGCACAATGATGTGGTACGCGCCGCAGTATCAGACAGCCCAAAAAGTCCCCGATATAAAACAGTATCTATGAACAAAAAAATCTTTTACTGTATTAAATATTTCAAATCTACAATGCTAGAACCTGACTTTAGGGGATTTAATTTAATTAAGCATGTTTTAGAAAACAGCGCCATCTAGTGTTAATATTAGAACTAAAACAAATCAACAATATTAATATCTCCACACATTGCGTAAACCTAATTAAACCTTTTGTAATGTACAAATACAAATATATAAATAATCAATTCATTAATACGATAATGGCGCTCTTGACACGCTGAATAGATCCAAGTCATTGTCAGCTTCATTTTCTAGTTGCGATTCTTGTATTACGGCCGTATTCCATCCATTTTATTTTACCCGTATTCATCTACTTTCATTCTTTTTTTTTACATACCCTTCTCTGCTTTCATCCCAACCTACTTATACCAAAAAATCTAACAAAAGTTACAAAAGTCAGTAAAATTTACTCACACGAAGCATAACATGAGTGTCATCGCATGAGAGATGCTGTTGCCCATAAAGAATAAATCTGGGACACTCATGTCCGTCATTCTTGTCATATTTTTAGACTTATAATAAGACAAATAGCAATATTAAGAATCACGGTCGAACCTGAGGGCCTACCATGAAATATTTACCGAAATTTCGGGGACGAACGAAATAAAAATTTGATGTTTAAATTACATAATACATGCCGTTTAGAATTATTAAAAATACCAAAATATCGTTCCTCTGGACTATTAGGATAGGATTTATGATGAACGAAACGTTAAGCTCCATTTACTGGGTCGATTAAGGTACGAACAAAACACGATATTGAGCCCCAAAATTCGAAATTTCATTTCATGGTAGGCCCCCTGGTCGAAGCGTCGAGATAACACAGGTAAATTATCATAGATTACCTTGATGATCACGTTAATTCCCGTCTCTTAACCATGAAATACCTTTTTATAGTATTTTTTACATACACTGTTATATCGATAAAAAAAGACATAAAAAGATTAACTTTACGAGTATTCTTCTTATATCTTAGTAAATACAAAATTTGCCAATTATTACAGAAATAGGTAATTAAAGACAATTAGGTACTATCAAGTGTTATTGAAAAAGAAGTAGTAATCCTACTAATAGAAAGACTACGCATTTTAGTTAAAAATATAAAAAAAAAAAATTATATATATCTGATATGTCATCATATCACCCATTAACTGTCCACTTTTAAACAGAGGCGTCCCCCCTAGAAAAATCCCCCATTTTTCCAGAAGTTGTTACACTTGGCAAGCGAGTTGGCAACCGCAATTACGCTTTGCTGATGTTTTAAGAGAGATGCTGCTGCTCATTTTTTTTATACAACTTAGAATAGCAAACAAGCTGACGGCCCACCTGATGGAAAGTGGTAACCGGCGCCTATAGACATGAACAGTACCATGGACGTAACAGAGTATATTGTTACGCCCATGGTACCTCCCATGCGTTGCCATTCCTGAGGACTCAGATGTTATTCCTCTGTACCCTGTAAATTCACGCCATATCCTACCCTTCAAACCGAAACACAGCCATGCAAACACAACTGCTATACGGTTGAAACACGAATGGTACAGAGGTACCTAAGCAATCGACTTTTGTACAAAAGTAGATTGCTTGGTAAAAATTATAAAATTACTCGACCAATAAAATCCCTTAGTCGCCTCCTACGATACCCACGTGAAAGGAAGGGTAGCTCATTCTATGCCGGAACTACACAGCACTGTTACATATCTTTATATATATAATCTGTTATATACTTAACGACTAATCCAAATAAAATAAATTAATGTCCAAATAGGATAAATATTACGATTGTATCATATGCTTATTTTCGAATGAGTATGAACTTGTTCGCTTAATAATTCAAGAAGCTTCAATTACCATCTGATTCCCATCCACTTCAGGTTT